GAAAGCATTCAGTCAAAATAGTAGCCCTCAAATATATGAACAAATTCACACTAGGGAGAAACCCTATGTATGTAAGCAATGTGGGAAAGCATTCATTGCACACAGTGCATGTCAAAGACATGCAAGAATTCATACTGAGGAGAAACCCTATGTATGCAAGCAATGTGGGAAAGCATTCAACAGAAATGGTCATCTTGTAATACATGCAAGAAGCCACACTGGGAAAAATTCTATGTATGTAAGCAATGTGGGAAAGAATTCAGGGCACCCAGGCAGTGTCAAATTCATGAAAGAATTCACACTGGAGAGAACCCCTATGTATGGAAGCAATGTGGGAAGACTTTCAACCAAAATGGTAATCTTGTGTTACATGAAAAAATTCCCACTGGGGAGAAACCTTATGTATGTAAGCAATGTAGAAAAGCATTCAACAGACATAGTCACTGTCAATGTCATGAAAGAATTCATAGTGATGAGAAACACCACATGTAAGCATTGTGATAAATCTTTCCACCGCCAGAGTGATTCTCACAAACATAAAAGAATTCAAGAGGTGGGCGTGATGATGCATGCCTATAATCTCAGCACTCATGAGGCTGAAGCAGGAGGATCACTGTGAATTTGAGACCAGCCTGAATTTTGCCTAGTGAAACCCTGACTCAAAAAGAATTCTCCCTGGGAAGTAACCCAATTCACTTGGACCATGGGGAAAAGAATTCAGTGCACAAAAATGAGATCAGATACAGGAAAAATACATATACAAGAAAGGTCCTTCACGAATTTGCGTGTCATCCTTGCACACACAGGGGCCATGCTAATCTTCTCTGTATCGTTCCAATTTTAGTATATGTGCTGCTGAAGCGAGCGCAAGAGAGGTCCTATGTATGTATGTAGTGGGGAAAAAAACATTTGCTGTAAAACTTTCATTTTATTTATTTTAAATATTTTTTTTGTTTTATATTCTTTTTTATTTAATGTATTTGGTTGTTGCAGTGTCTCTCTCCCCATGCAGCTAGGACTTGTGATGATTGCTTTCAGCTTCCCCACTGCTGGGTTTATGGGCGTGCGCCACCACACCTAGACTCTGGCCAACTCAAGCTGCCCTGGGCTCATGTGGCATATGGTGCTGGGGATACAACCGAGGTTTCTGTGCTTGCCTAAGCTTACCTAAGCAGGCACTTAAGTCTGCTGAGCTATCTTGCTGGCCCAAAAAACTTTCATTTAAAAAATAAGAAATTCCCCTCAAATGGGGAGTAACTGCATATCAAAATATGGGGAAAAATTCGGCAAACAGAAATGCTATCCTTCAGAATGGCATCACCTTGTAACCAAAGCCTATGCATTCAGGGTGAAAAAGTATTCAGTATACAAGGAGATTGTCAATTACTTGAAAGATTATTTTGTAAATACTTCGAAAATTATTCATTTGGAGGAGAACAGAAATACTATAGAAGTCAATATCATCTTCAGATAACACACTCAGAGATGGAAATATTAAGTTTGTTTTTCACAATGTTCATTCCTCCTATCCAGGAGCAACTGATATCTTTTATTTTCTGAAATCCTCTTTAATCTCTTTTTAGAGTACTATAATTTTCACTATATAAATCTTTTAGTTCGTGAGATTGATTCCTAAGTATTTCATTTTTCAAGGTATTATTGTGAAAGGTATACTGTTGCTTTGCTTTTTTCTTTAAACTAATCTTGTGTGTTTATATCCGGAAGCCTGAGCAACTAATTTGAAGATAGCATCATGTAATATAGCAACCACTGTTGAATTCCTATTACTTTGCTTAGTGAAATTTTGTATCATTTCTTTTTTAAAAAAATAATTATATTGAGAGGCAAATAGCAATGAGACAGTTTCAAAACCAATTAGTAGGACAGTTTCGATAATTAATATGCTGCATATTGTTGTCTTGGTGGTTATTCATTGTACAAGATGCAGACATGATATCCCATCCACAAACACTATTAGAATAAATCTGTCTATTCATTGAATTAAGAGAGAGTGGCTGTATATCTATTCTAACTATTTTGAATATACAGATACAAAATTTTTTGTTTAGTTTTGTCAGAGAAGGGTATTCCATTACCATTTAAATATTGTAGGTGGATGAATTCAGCAAAATATTCCAATATATAGTCCAGCAGTCCATAATAGTAGTGGATTATCTCTAGGACTGGCAATGTTAGAAGTTGTTGACTTGAGCTTTTTACAGTGCAGCATATTGATACGGCTTTACTTTTTATACCTCATTTTTATATTTTCTGCTGTATGGTTAAGACCAAGATAAAGCAAGACCTATATAACAAGAAATGTAACTTTTTTATCTGACAAGGTCAATCAAATTCCCTCAGGATTTACTCTGAAACCCTGTACCACAGTCTGTAGATCCTTTGTCAGTGTTAGCCATGTGGACCAGTCACAGCCATTGCTTGAGCAATTTGCTCTCTGTGAAAGCCTGAAAGAATGTCTTCTCTCCACGTGACTCTCCTTAGGCACATTCTGCATCATCGATCACATTCCTCTGTGGCCCCATAATCTCCTTGATCAGAAAATTTGGGACAAAACTGAGTTACAGGATGTTACAGTACAGGTTCTCCTGTGTCCTGAGTCTTCACCGACCTTGAAGGGCTAGGGCCAAAATGTTGGCTGTCCTTGCAGCCCTTTTTCTGACTTTTGGTCTGCAAATTTGGGTTGTTAACCCTCAAGAAGAGAAGCTTATTATTATTATCCTACAACATAGGCAGTTGAGCTTAACCTGTCTGTCTGACTATCAAACATCTTGGACATAACATGGAATAGGTATTTTTCATCAAGTATTGATATGTTAAAATTTAAGTTCCTACAGAATATGAAGAAAAAAATTTAAAAACTAAAAAATATTTTTAAAATAGGAATAAACAATTACATATTCTTACACAGAGATTTAGAAATCTGACCATGTGCAGCACTGTAGCAGAACAGTCCTATCACATTTTTTTCTTCTCTTTTTTTTCATTTATTATACTTTTTTTTCAACAAACATTTACTTGAGAGACAGTATGACAGCAATTGGTATGTCATGACAAGCAGTACACATTTGGAAGACCACAGTGACAGGCACTTCAAGCATGACCCTACTATATTGCACATTGCTATCTTCAGTGCGGTTGCTTTGTTCACGGGTATCAGCATGTATGGTTGGTCAGGGTGGGAATCCTACCAATTGATTGCTAGTTTTGGGTGCCTACTGAGGATTCTCAGGATCATTGCCTTAAACGCCCTGTGACTATAAATGTATGGCTTTGCCCTTGCTGTATCATTTCTAATGTTTTTTTCTATCACTATTTTATAGTCTTTAAAAAAAATAAAAAACTTCTCGTACATCCTGAGTCTTCACTGACCTTGAAAAGCTAGGGTCCAGTCCTAGCCCAGGTCCGGTGAGTGTGTGGAGAGCTTCCTGCTACCCTGCGCCGGCGGGACCAGTCCTAGCCCAGGCGCAGCGTGGGCCGGAC